CTCTCTCTCTCTCTCTCTCTCTCTCTCTCTCTCTCTCACACACACACACACACACACACACACTCTCTCTCTCTCTCTCTCTCTCTCTCTCTCTCTCTTTTAAAAAAAGTGAAAAGAGACTTTTAGTTTGGATTTATATCTTTGTGTAATTTTAGTTTTTTAACTGTATGTGTTAATTTTACTTTAAGAGACTAATTTTAAGAGACTAATGAATAGTTGAATTAGTGGAATAACTAGTGAAAATTATAAGTCAATTTAAATTGTAAAAGCTTATGTACTTTTTCTGAGAAATTCTACTTTTAGGAATTTGGCCTATGAAATTGCAAGCCCAAGTATAACAAGATGTATGTATGTATGAGGAACTTACTGTAGCATTATTTGTAACTGCAAAAAAAACTAAAACAATTTCAATATGCATTAATGGAAGGTTAAGTGAATTATGTTACATCTACACAATGAAATATAAATAACCCTAAAATAGATTTAAATGTACTTGTGTGTCCATGATAAGATCATTAAAATAAATCAAGTTTTTTAATAATATGTATGTATGTTTTATCTTTGTTTTTAAACTACATGCATTCATGCATATATATGTGCCCATACACACTCACTTTATAAACCCATAAGAAAAATAGACATTTCTATGTAGAGGATGAAGAGCAGGTTTTACTTTATACTTCATATATTTCATATTGTTTAAATCTATTTTATTCACATCCATATATATTCTATTTATAATTTTTTAAAATAAGGAAAAGAAGGTACAAATATCCCCCAAAATAAATTTCTAATGAATGGCACCTTTACTGTAATTATTTATCACTATGTTATTTAAATATTCCTCAGACATCTCCAACTATAGTGGATACTTATTTAATAAACCCAGGTAGGGTTGATGTTTTCCAGCAATTTTCCCCAAAAGCCTTTTTTTTATGAATATATAAATATATATAATTTATGTGTAAATACATTTATGGAGAATTGTAACCTAGCAATCTGCTCATTAAAATTTATTTTTAAAGGTCATAATCCTTCTATGGACCATAAATACCAATTTGTTAGGCAAAGTTAAACCCAGACATTACTCATATTTATTCATACATTGCCACCCTTTCTCTACATGTGATATAGCCAAGACAAAAGTAAAAGAAATTCTGTGGTGTTATAGTTCCTTCAGTGGTGAGGCCAACAGTAACTCCAGCTAATAACTTGATCCCCCCAGGTGGGTTATCAGTGCCAGAAATTTCTATCAATGGAAGCTTCTAAGCCAGTGGTTCACCACCTTTTTGGGGCCATAGAATCCCTTGAGAGAGTCCTGCATGAGATAGGGGTGAAGAGAACATGGACTTTACAACTAGACACATCTTTGTTTAAATGTCAACTCCACTGTTTATTTCATTGGTGACCTTAGGCAATACACTTAACCTCTCTGAGCCTCTCTCTTCATCTATAAAATGCCTGGCACATGATAAGAACTTAGTCAAAGGCAGCAATTATATTGTTAGGATGAGATAAAACATGTTGACTCTCCCTGAAAAAGATCCACCTTGCATTTTTAGGATATTGCATATGATTTCAAGGGCTTTGCCAACTTCTTCAACCAATTCTGGTCCTCAGGTTAGGAACTCTTGAATAAAGATATGGAATCAACACTTGAAATCTGAAAAGTAGAGAGAATATTTTCTACCTTTTTTTTTTTACTTGTCATTTTAGGTAGTGTTTTCTTGTGTTGTGTTGGATTATTTGTGTGTTATGCACATAAAGACTCAACCCAACCAATAGAGTGGATTGCAAAATTTAAAAAGTGTACAAAAGAGCAAAATAAATAAGAGCTGTATAGCACTTTAACGCATTAATTAGATTTAGTTATTTACCAGCCAAATATTAAAGGTCATTAGGTGACCAGATTCAATTTTTAAATACCACTATAAAACATGTGAGTTTGCTAGGGCCATACTTTTGTTTCCGTAGATCAAACATAAAATTATTTTAAACTGCTTTACTTGAGCTGATCAGAGTTAACCTACTAGTTCCTAGCTCAGTTTTATGCTCAGAGCCAGCTAGGACTGTTCTCCTTTATTTTCAAGAGTTCAGAAAAGAGAAAAAACAGTGCCTTCAATTAGCAGCACAAAGAAATAGCTTTTGTTCTTTCTTTGCATCGGTCTAATCTCAAAGAAATAGAAATCCCCTGCAATGTGCCTCTACCATTAACTCAAACAACATATGGGCTGTTGATGAAAGTATATCCCAACAGTCTATGAGAGCCCTCTTAGGCTTGGATCTAGCCCCTACTCCCTCCCTAATTGTTCTCCTTCCAAATTCATAAGTAAACAATACCCCAAGAATAAGTGAACCTTTCAGGAAATGAGAAAAATTCTATTTTGATGCTATTATCACTGATTGTGATCCATGCTTCAGGACTGTTGTTGATGATGGTGGAGAAGACTGGCAATGAGAAGAGTGGGATTTTACAGAGAAAAACAATCCTATATTTCCTTCTCTAAAGCAGAGAGGAGAAACATGCATGCATAATTCCAAGAAGAGAGGATTTTTTACAAGAACACTATCCAAATAGTTCTTCAATATCATCATTACATTCACAAGAAAAGTGAATTGGTTTATGAATACCATTCCCAGCTAAAAGAACCAGCACTCCTTGGTAAAACATCTGATTCTTGGGCTGAAGAGAAAAAATACAAGATGATCCTAGAGTATCTTGTGCCAAAAAATAAGAAAATGCTCAAAGAATGATGGGGTATGTCAAAGGGACACAAAAGCCAGATTGGAGAGCCCCCACTTGCTAAATTTGGGCCAATTTGAATATCAAAATAAACAATAGTAACAGATTTTAATCCAATGAATAAAATGAGAATCCATGAGTTCATGCTCATATAAATAAACACATAAATGAATGAATGAACAGGTAAATGTGGAAGAAGAGAAAACTATTCTTTTAGAATGTCCACTAATAAGTGGAGAAAAAGAATGGAGTTTGCCACCAGTATAGTAACTGGTGATTCAGACAAGAATCATCAATAGATATAAAACTACTGGATAAAAGTTTGATAAGAATAGGGTATTTATGTAGCCCCCAAACTTCTCCCCCAGAAATTGCTTAATATTACAAAGAAAAAAAACACATTTACTATGGAAAAATTTGCCAGAGATCAGAATCAAGTGATCAAAGTTATCATCTCAAATAATGGGACAAATTGGCACCATGTGTCTACTGATGTAATAATGCACTGAGAAGAACAACATCATTTCTGTGGTATTCTTGCCAAAATACAAAGCATAAAGTTAACCATGAGGAAATATTAGACAAACCCAAATTAAGGGAAATTACACAAAATAACTGGACCGTATGCTAGAAATGTCTAAGTCATGAAAGACAAGTAAGTGTGTCAGTCAGCTTTTCATTGCTGTGACTAAAATACGTGACAAGAACAACTAAAAGGAGAAGTTTCTTTTGACTCACTGACTCAGAGGTTCACTTCAAGGTGGGCTAAATCCATTGCACTCCAACTAACTTGAGAGCACATCATGGAAGAAGGGCGTAGGGAAGGAAGGGAAGCTGCTCTCCTCATAGCAACCAGATAACAGAGGAGGGGGAAGGGGTCACAGAAAAAAATGAACCCTTCCAGGTCATGCCCGCAGTGACCCACCTCCTCCAGCCATTCTCCACCTACCTACAGTTAATACCCAGTTGTTTCATTCAAATTAGAATGGACTGATTAAGTGACAGTTCTTATGATCCAATCATTTCATCCATCCCTGCATTAACACAAGAATTTTTGGGGGACCATTCATATACAAACCATAACAACAAAGAAAGACTGAGGGTCTCTTCCAGATTGAAGTCTAAAGAGACATTCTAACGAAATACAATGTATGCTCCTGAATTGGATCCTAGATCAATCAAAAACAGCTATAAAGAAAGTTATTAAAAGAATTCACTAAATTTGAATATAAACTGTGAATTAGATATAAGTATTGTATCAATGTTAAATTTCTAATTTTGAATATACAGTGTGCTTAAGTAAGATAATTCCTTATTCTTAGGGAAAATGCACGGAGGTATTTAGTGATAAAAGGGAATCATGCCTGAAACTTACTCTCAAATGATTCACAAATAAATTAGATGCCTGTGTGTGTGTTTTATGTATGTGTGTGTGTGTGTTTTATGTGTGTAGGAGGAGGGGGAAGAGGAAGAGAAGAGAAATGAAAAAGATTAAAATACAGAGGATGGGTCAGGCACAGTGGTGCACACCTGTAATGCCAGCAACTCAGGTAGTTGAGTCAGGAAGATTGAGGCCAGCCTGGGAAAATTAGTGAGACCCTGTTTCAAAATTTAAAAAAAAAAAAAGGAAAAAGGACTGTTAGTGTAGCTTAATAGTAAAGTGTCTCTGGGTTCAATTCCTAGTACCAAAAAATAAAGAAATAAAAAATAAAAAGATATGGAGGATGATAAAGTATATAAGGAAGTGTTAACCATTGATGAATCTAAGAGTATGAAATATGTTGTTATTCTTACAATAATTGTGTAAATTCGAAATTATATCAAAATAAAAGGTAAATGAAAACAATATTTGCCGTATATTAAAAGTAAATGAAAAATTGTGGCAATCTCAGGCTCTTGCCAGAACATTGATGGAAGAGTGGATTCATTGGCGTAGCATTTATGCTAACCTTGCTAAGGAGAAAAATGAATTAGTTACTCACAGCAGCGCAGTGTCCTGTCAACAGTTGGGATGATCTTGTTGAGAATCCAAATATCTTCTTCCCAACTAATGATATTTCCATCTAAACACTTCATAAACTCCTCAGTTTCCAAGATGTGGTCCCAGAGTTGAAAGTAGTATAAGCTGCCAGTAAAGTGAGGTGCCACTTTTTTCACCTGGCCATCTTCATTCTTGGGCAAGTGCCCTAAGACCAGAGTCCCATTAGGTGTCAGGCTGCGTGGCTCATCCATTATTATCACTAACCTTTTTTGATTCAGGAAAATATCTAATCTTCCCTTCACCCCATCCCATATCAAGCATATTGTATACCATTTAAATGGAATCAGTCGATAAGTGATATAAAAGGTCTTGCCCAAGTTGTATAGTATTAGATGCCGATGGTCCCCTGCAAGTCCAAGGTGTAAGTCTTCTCTGCCCAGCACAGTGTTGTTAGTAATATAGGAGAAGGCCTTCCAATAACCTGGCTTGCCATTTTTGGCTACCATATCAATACATGTTGTGAATTGGCTCAGTTCAGGAATGGTCTTGGCCAGGCTTACATATGTGTCACTTTTTCCATAAAAATCCAGCTTTTTTCCTTTTAGTGAAACTGTATCTGTCCAGATTTCGAGAAGGGAGAAAGAGAAAACAAATCAAATAATTTCAGTTAAATTTTTTACCATCTTTGGCAGTATGCTCAAATTGCACAATATAATTATGAATCAATCCTGATACAAATAAGCAAATTGTAGATATAACAAAAATCATCTCTTTTTGACATTGGCATGTGATGTTTTTGGCAGAAGCATTTCTTCCTAATTATACTTTGCCTGGGCTAATATAAAAAGTTAGATTAGTGTTCCCAGAGCCCATACCAGCTGGACAATTTGGGGCCATTAGAAATGTGTAGCTAGTTGGGGTAAGAAGCCAAAGAAAGACAGTATAGACTTCAGATTTTCTCCATATAATTCTCATGCATATATATAATCAAAAGAGAATTGTTTTGACCCACCTAACCACCTTATTATATTCATGATTCCACAGAGATTTGTTTCTTCAATGCCTGTTCTGAGCCAAAAGACCTGTTTTATTCTGTCTCTGGAGACTTCTTCTCACTGAAAAATCACTGGCAAAGGCCTGAAGGATGACGAGCTGGACAATATTGAAATTTGGGGGTTTCAGCTTGGAATAAGGAATGGAAGAGATGGCACTGCCCTGAATGCATCTGGATGCCCTCCTTCCCTCTCCCCGCTGAGAGAGCTTAAGGCACTCTAGACAGCCATGAACCCAGTTATCATTGGTTATAAAGTCAGAGAGCCTGGAGTGGAATCCCAGCTCCAACTGACACACATCAGTTTAAACTTGAGCAAGTAAGTGAACCTCCCTGGGCCTAAATGTTTGTTTCAGCTAAATGAGGATTTAGAACCATAGTGCTTTATATTTGCCCAACAAAAGGGACCACAGTTCACATTGGAATCTAGGCCAGGTGGTCCCTGTCTACTGAGTATTTGAAGATTAAGTGAGATAATGTACACAAAGCCTTCTCAAGTGTACATTTCCATTGGTACAGTCTTTTGGCAGGCAGCTTGAAAATTTAAATCAGGTATTTCTCCTGTCTCATAGGAAGCTATTAAATTGTGATATTATCACCACTACAAGTGTCACAGCCCTAGGCCACTGGGAAAATATCCACGGTTTGCCTAATGTCAACCTAGTTCCATGCCCAGGACAGACCAAGCCAAACCAAAAAGAGCTTTGTGGAAGAATAAAATTGTTAACTTCTCTCTGAATTAGAGTCATAATGTTGGGACCACTACTTCAAAACAGTGACAGCCATAGCAGCACACTATAGAGGCTGGAAGGAAGTGACTACTGCCCTGCTTCTTGGAGATGCCTCCAAATGAGAGCCTTCGGATATTCTCTGCCCATTCAAAATTCTCTCCCTCCATTCCTTTACTGAATAGCCTCCAAAACCAAACAAGCACATGTATATGCTTGCCCACACACACATTCATGCACACACTCAACCTGCACACGCATGTGCACACACACACACACACACACACACACACACACAGCATACCCATGTGCAGGAATTCATATTATCCACCCGCCAGTTATTGTTCAATTATCTATGATAGATGAGAAAATGCTTATTTCTGTTCTTGGTATATGGTATTATCTTATCATCTTTCATGTAGCTAATAAATCAAGAGTTAATCCCACAAGACAGTAACACCATGATATCTAACTCTTGATTATTGTTGGTTAACATTGCTTTTCCGCTCAGCCCTCCAAATGACGTCAAATAAAACATTTAAGAACTGGTTTTATGGTGAATATAAATCTTCATGACTTACTTGTTGCTTAAAAACAGAATGTATCATAGTCTCATATGGTCTACAAGGGCCTCTCCTCTCTGCAATATACTAATATAAAACCAGTTGCCAAGGGGGAAGAATGAGCAATTTACAAAATCAAAAATATAAAGGCCAACAATAAAAAAAGATGCCACCTCACCATTTTTAAGCACAAATTAAAACAGTAATAACATACCATTTTGCCTACTAGATTGATAAAATCATAGAAGATTGATAGTACCCAGCATTGGCAAACATTTGGGGAAATGACTAATTCTTATATGGTGCTGGTGGGAGTACCAGTTGAGTAGGGTTTTTGAAGGACAATTTGCCAGTTTCTATGACAATTTTAATTGTGTATATACTTTTATTTTTTTGATACCAGGGACTGAACCAGGAGTGTTTCAACACTGAGCCCCATTTCCAGTCCTTTTATATTTTATTTTGAGACAGGTTCTCATGGGGTTGCTTACAGTTTCACTAAATTTCTGAGGCTGGCTTCAAACCTGTGATCCTCCCTCCCAAATTGCTGGGATTATAGGTGTGCACCACCATGCCCAGTAAATTGTGTGTATACTTTTGGCCCAGAAACTCAATTTCCATCAATTTATTGTAGAAAAATATACATATATACAAAGGTGTGAGTACAAGGATATTTACTGCAGCTTTGTTTCTAATCATGAAAAAATGAAAAAAAAACGTGTCTATTCATAAGTGGCTAGTTAGGAAAATTGCTACTTCTGTGCAATGAAGTACTAAAGCATATAAAGTAGACATATATAGTCATGGAGAAATTTTCAAGTCTTAAAATTATGTGAAAGGGGAGTTACTTAAGTGTAAGTATAGTATTATTTATTAAAAATAAAATATATATATGTGTGTTAGTATACACATAGAAGAAAGTCTGGAAGAGTGTATCAAACAGTTAAGAATGATTATCTTTAAATAGGAGATTTAGGGAGATTTTTATTTTCTGTATTATTTATTTAAGTAATTACCACATTTTAAATAATCATATTTTGCATTTATAATCAGAAAAAATATAGATAGACTGATGGTTGGATGAATAGTGAAAGAGAGAGAGAGAGAGAGAGAGAGAGAGAGAGAGAGAGAGAGAGAAAGAAAGAAAGAAAGAAATAGAAAGAGAGAGAGAGGAGGGAGGGAGGGAGGAAGAGAGAAATGAAGAAAAGATTAGTTTGGCCTTACTTTAGCTTCTGCAGACAGAGATAAATTCTACTTAGACATCAGCAGAAGAGTGGTGTCACAAGTCTTAAAAGCTGGATGCATGCCCCAGTTCTGTCTCTCACTAGCTTTGTGGACATGGACAATTAGTGCATGTAAAGCTCTCAGGACAGTGTTTGGAAGATAGTGAGCCCCATATAAATGTTAAATAAATAAACTCATGTCACGTCTGTGTACAATGGGAATAATAATTGCCTTCCTCACAAGGCCATTATAAAAGATGATACAATAGCAACTAACATTGAGGTGATCTGTGTGACAATGTTTATAAACTATGAAGTACCATGTAAATGTCAGTTGCAGTGTTTACCAGTGTCATTGACAGAAACCTCTTCTCCCACAACCTTGTTCTCTCCCTCACACATGCAAGAACATCTGTGCTGAGCCTTCCTGCAGCCTCCAGGCCTCTAGCAGGACCCAGAGGAGGAGGGGCTGTGATGAGGAGGAGAGGGGTTTGGCCCTTGTTTGGCCAGGCAAACAGCCTTCACCATGGGTCTCTCAAGGGCCTGCTTGAAAGGCCACTTGTGTCTTTGCATATGATTTTGCTATCCATTGCAGATGTCTGCTCGGATGCTGCCATCTGTTCCCTGGCAATTTTGAAGTCCAAATTGCATGATTACCCACCCACCCCCACACACACAAGTGTATTCTCTCTTGAATTTGACTTCCCTGCATCTCTTCATCTCTGTCTGCTCTTTCCTTTTATTTTAAATCCCATTTATTGCTTTCTCTAGTTTATTTTTTTAAAGGAGGTGTTTTGTTGCATTATAAAAGTAATACTGTACATTTTTTAAAGAAAAAAAATGAAAAGTATTAGAAAGTAAAAGGATGAGAATGAAGTCAGCCAGATAGTTCTGACACCAAGAGACAATCAGCAATAACAGGTTGATGTATTTCCTTTGACTTCTTTGACTGTGTGTCGGGGGAGGGGGGCTTTGTTTGAGTCTGTGTGTTTATAGCTGAGATCATATCGTATGGAAAATTTGGTCCCTTGCTTACTTAACATTATAACATAAGTGCATTCCATGTTAGGAAAAACTCATCAAAAGCCTTATTAAAATGCATATGTTACAGCCCCAGGAGCATGAACCACCATCTTATTTGTACTGGGAAAATTCACATAATATGAAGTTCACTATTTATACCATTTTAAAATGTACAATTCAGTGGCATTTAGCATATACACAATGATATACAAACAATATCTTTATCTAATTCCAGAACATTTTTATCACTCCAAACATTAAACAGTCTCATTAAACAATCATTCTGTGTTTGTGCTCTGCCCCATCCCCCATAAATGGCAATCACTATTATGTTTTCTATCTCAGTAATTTTTCCTACTCTGGACATGTCATATAAATGAAACCTTGCAATATGTGGCCTTTTGTGCCTGACTTTTTACATTTAGTATAATGTTCATCCATGTTGAAGCATGTATCAGTACCTCATTACTTTCCATAGCTGAATATTATTCCACCATACGCATATTACATTTCATTTGTTGATTCATCTGTTAATAGATATTTGGGTTGTTTTTGCCTTTAGCTACAATGAACAATCTTCTATGATTTTTGCCATTGATTTTGTCTTAACAACATGTTTTCATTTCTTTTGGACTTGTACCAAGAGTGGAATTGCTATAGGTCAAATAATTGTATGTTTAATTTATAATAATAGCCAGGTATGGTAGGGCAAGCCTGTAGTTCCAGTGGCTTGAGAGGATGAGGCAGGAAGATCATGAGTTCAAAGCCAGCCTCAGCAACTTAGCGAGGCACTAAGCAACTCAGTGAGACCCTGTCTCTAAATAAAGTATTAAAAAGGGCTGGGGATGTGCCTCAGTGGTTAAGTGCCCCTTGATTCAATACCTGGTACCTAAAAGCAATTTATAATAATAATACCCA